CAGAGCTGAAGCTCCTGCTTAGGCTCAGAGCTGAAGCTCTTGCTGACGGATCGGCGCATTTTGCTCGCCCACTCTCCCTGCGTTCTGCGCCCCTCGGTCTTCGCAGCTTTCCAGCCCGCCTCTCCTCGCGGCCCCCTTCCGGAAGGGGGGCCTTTGCAGGCGCTCGCCCGGACGGCCATAGAGGGAACGGGCGAGCTTATCCTCCCAGGCCTACGAGCCGCGCTCTGCGAGCGGTATGTAGGTCAACCTCTCCCCTCACTCGCGGACCTCGGCGCCTCCGTTGCGGGAGCGCCGCGGTCCGCTCGGGCCGACCCTTGGCGGCGGTGGGCAGCGCTTTCCCGCCGGCTGGGGCGCGGCCTGCCCCACCCATTGCCGTCGTTTGAGCGGCGCCGCTCGAAAAACGCGCGTTCGGCGGGCCCACCCTCTCTGCCCCCTTCGAGCGCCGCCCGCGGCTTCCGCGAGAAGACCGCTCGCCAGCGCCGTGGCGAGGGAGTGACATTGATGTGTGTGCTGCTGGTGATGATGACGATGGTGATAAGGATTCTGACAGTGATCGTGACGCTGATGATTACGATGCTGGTGGGGGTGCTGCAGCTGATTGCCATGCGCATAGTGTTGACGGTGATTGTGGTGACAGAGAGGATCAAGATGGTGGTGATCGCGGCGATAAGGACGATGCAGGCGATGACGATGGCGATGCTAACAACGGGTGGTGGTGATGGTGATACTGATGATGGTGATGATGATGTGGATGATCGTTATGATTACCATGCCTGTGCCAGTGGTGATCCCGGCGTCAATGATGACGATGTTGTTGACGGCGAATATGCGGTCGATGATGGTGGTGGTGGTGCGGATGCTTGTGACGATGATTGCGGTACGACTGACAACGCGCCCACCAACATTGCGGCTCGTAGGGATATTGATGGTCATGAGTACGTTGATTATGCTGTCGGTGATGTCGGTGATTCTCATGATGATACTGCTGGTGGTTGAGGCCGAGCCCGAACATAACGCCTCGCGCATCGAATGAACAGGAACCGCGAAGAGGCGGCCCGACGACCTTTCCGCGCCCCAAAGGGAGGTTGTGCCAGAACGATCATTCATGTTTCTCCTAAAGTATCACATTGTAGGATCTAAACTGGGAGGCGGATGCTATGATTTCCCTCGAGGCATACGCCGCCCTGTGGATGTGCAAGGCCAAGGGTGATTGTGGTGGTGGTGATGGTGGTGGAGGAGATGGGTGAGGGGGAGGAGGAGGATGACGATGAAACATAACGGGTGATAGTCAGGAGGATGCATGCGTTGTGGACGCGAAGGGGACGAGGAGGGGGGTAGTGAGGGGGCGGAGGAGGAAACAGAGGGTTTCGGTAGCAGGAGGGCGGGAGGAACACCAATGGGTAGCTGGAGCTGGTAGGGGAGGGGGGGGGGGGCACGAGGAAGATGATGATGAGGAGGAGGAGGAGGAGGAGGAGGGGAGCGAGGAAGAGAAAGAGGGAGGACAGGAGGAAGAGGCAACATGGGAGGAGAAAGAGGCGGACCATGGAGGAAGAGGGAAACAGGAGGAGGAGGAGGCAAAAGGAGAGGAGGAGGAGGAGGAAGGAGGAGGAGAAAAGGAGGAGGATGGAGGAACAGGACACAGGAACAGGAAGGAGGAGGAGGAAGAGGAGGAGGAGGGAGGAGGAGGAGGAGAAGGGGAGGAAGAGGAGGAGGACGGAGGAGGAGGAGAGGAGGAGGAGGAGGAGTGAGGAGGAGGAGGAGGAGGAGGAGGAGGATGAGGAGGAGGAGGAGGAGGGGGTGGGGAGGAGGACTTGGAAGAGGAAGCGGAAGACGAATATGACCAAGAATAATGTTGTCAATCGCAAACAAGTGATGGTTTTTGAACAAGCATGCTACGAGTTGCACTTGTATGAATATCATTGTAACAATTTGTAACCCACACATTGTCATCACTATCAAGAAACATACTAACGGGTGGAGCAATACTAATAACCCTACTGATACCAATGAATGAGGACCGTGCCAATCAGAGAACTAAGCAATAATAAGGTTAATAAGGCGAATGCGACATATAATACGAATGACATGATTAATCAGCATAATAAGAATACGTACGCAATACGAACCATACAAT